GTACGGTATACTTTAAATGACAATAATTGTTATTTTTAATGCAAATTAAATATTTTTATTTCAAAAGTAGTATATTCAATATAGTAACATCCTTTCAATTAAAAATTACAAATTCATTTATTTCTCTATTTTTTATTCACAATTTGATATCATTGTCTGGTATATTCGTCGGATTGGGTAGGCAGTGTTTTTAGACAGCAGGCTGGTATGGATCGACATTTTTCACTTGAGATCCTTGTAGTACTGATTGAGGGCACTTCTCTCGGCGTCCGTCAGCTAAACCTGCTGCTGCTAGGGCCTTCTCTAACATCTTGCACCACTGTAGGCTACGAAATGTCTCCAATAGACAGTGTATGATTGATGCTCGTGGCCTACTGGCGATTCGCCACTGCCTGAGGATGCCATTTTCCGCAAATTACTGGTCCAAGCGTGTTTCTCATCCTACAATTTCAAAAGCAATCAATAAATATTATTTGTTCCACGGAATAGAATTTCAAATTACCGGATTGATTCGCCCGGAAAAGGATCAACGTTCGCCGGATTCTCTCTCGGCTAAATTAATGATACCTGCGTATAAGCAATAATCATGGGTCACCCGAAAAAAAATAACAACAAAAATACATTAAAAAACAATGTAACAATAAGACGAAAATTATTGTCTTAACAATGATTTATATTGTTACGTCTACAATAAATTTACCTTGATTTATGTTGTACAAAACAATAAATTTCATGGTAAATGGAAAATTTACAATAAAAAAGGGGGGTTGTTAAGTATCTTAACAATGAAATTTTCGTGATTTTCCCATATAATTTTTTTTCAATAACATTATATATTATTGTTATTTTACTGTTGGTTGGCGAATTTATTGATTAAAAAAAATAACAGTGTACTTTAGAGTGTATGTGTTGGCTTGACAGATCTACTTTATCGACTTTAAAAATAAATCGAAAAAATAAAACATTGCCCCAGGAAGGGAAGGGGATGGTATGTCTGTTACGGGTGGGTCCTTTTTTTACTGGTTATGGATCGAGATTCGATCCGGAACTTGTGAAATGCAGGCCAACTCCCCTGCGCTCGATATCCCTCACTCTTAGAAAATAATACCGAAGTCGGTTTAATTTTCTACCGAACTACATCGGTTACCAACAACGAACCGAAGAATTCGTGTAAAAATATGTTTTTAGGCGTATTTTCCTAGTCAAACCAAAATTTCGGTTAAATTTGACAGATAGGAATGAAGACTGAACCGAAAAGTACGGTAAAGTAGCGATATTTACCAGTTCGGTACTTGAAAACCGAGAAAACTCGGTAAACTGAACCGAATATTCGCTAAACTTTCTCAAACGTCAAACTCACAACTTCGGTTCAACTTCACGACGGAAATTTTAACCGAAACTCGGTTTTCAGCTAAACCAAATATTGTCAGCCATTTTTTCTCGCGGGTGCGCGTTGTGTTTTTTTTCGCAAGACGTGTTTTTTCGTTAGTGTCACACGGTGAATTGATTTGAAAATGGAAAAACTTCTGGAGGAACTGCATGTTTGATTGAATTCCATGTAGGAGGCATTATCACGACGTGTGAGAAGTTTTTTGTTTCCCTCAAGGGGGTTAACCCTCTCTTTCCCCCCGCACAGGTGAGCCATAATTTTCCGGTTCGTCTCAAGTTTGTTGTCAATAGTTAGTACATACAAAGCATATTTATGTATTAAAACAACATCTGACAAATATAATATAAATCATGCATCTCATTAAAAAAAACTAGTTTTATTTCTGATTCGAAACATCGTAAGTTTTTGGATTTGAGCGCTGTCAAAAAGAACCAAATTCCGTGATTGCAACCGGTGAGTCGGTTTGTTTGACAGCGTTCGGTAATACTTGGGTAAACCGATGTTCGGTTATTCCTGCTTGAATTGACTTTTTGTCAACCGAGTTTTTTCGGTTAGTTTGACAGGATGTGGGAAAAGAAATTTTAACGAACACTCGGTTGTTTCTTTTTGAACCGAACAGACTACCGAGCGTTCAGCAGATAAAAACTCGGTTGAAATTGAACCGAGTTCGGTACTATTTTCTAAGTATGTAGGTTACGTCTCCTTGGTGGTTGAGCGTCGTTGATAAGTTAATGCATTCGACTGGAGAGAATCGCCCATGAAATATGCTTCCACCTGAGAGTTCTTTCCTGACATCTTCAAGTGGTGGAATTTTTTATTATTATTGTATGATTATTGACTGCACGGAAAAGGTCTCCATTAAGCTTTAGAGAGGGTCTAGGATAAGATATGAGCGGACGTGGACTGCCTGGTTTTGAGCCAAACGAACTGTCAAAGCCAGAGCCATACGAGCAGCGCCTATCTTAATTACATTGGCAGTGTTGCTGACCCTCTCATAGTCTGCATGCTTCAATCAGATTTATTTTTATTGTTCGTGAAGTAACCCACAATGAAAATACACCAATATTTAATGTAACAACAATTTTTATTGTAATAGAGTTGTTCATTATTGTTCATGATCGAATCATGTTAACAATAAAATAAATGAAAAATACGATAAAAAACATTGTAACAACATTTTATTATGTACATTCATTGTACAGCTAGGTAGCAGTTTTGCCGTTTTCGGAAGAGTACAACATTATAACAATCATTTTTATTGTCGACAATAAATATTAATGTTAGAGCATTGTTTCCACTGAAAATTTCACTGTATTTTTTTTTTCGGGCAGTGGTTCAATTATGCAAATTATCTGATCTCAAAAATTACTTACGGTTTAATAAAAAATTGCTCTCCCAAACTACAATGTCAAGCAGCTGCAACTGAAATGAAAAAAATCTCTTTTCCGCCCGTATGGCACACTCCGCCAGTGCAGAAGTACATGGGTTCTAATTTGCAAGCAGTTACAGCGTTACAGACCAAATCTTTACACTTTCTAGTACAAGTTAAAAAAAACTGAAGTTTATGTAGCTCCCGTTTTGCACGTTTTTCTTTCTTTTTGTTTGCTCACGCTATCCTAAAACTACTCAAAAATGGGTAGAAATCAACACATGAAAAGCAATTTTGACAGTTAAGGCCTGTATAGAGATCGAAGCAAATCTCATACAAAATACTAAATTTTTCACCAGCGTGAAAAACGCAATTGGCAAATTTTTCACTTCGTTTTGAACTGTAAACAGATACGATCCAGCGAAATGTAATGTTGTGGATCGCATCTTTTTCGCTTACGTTTATTTTTTTTTCGCGCATGCAGCGCTCGCGAAAAGAGCAGCAGCTAAGCGAAAAGTTGACGTTTCGGAAGAGCGTATCTGTCAGATTTTCACTTCACCGGAGGTGTAAACTGATCGATTTCGTTTCACATGAACTCTAAACTGCGAAAAAAGGAAACTGAAAAATGTTCCACAAACATTTTTTCACAACCTTTTTCGCTAGCGAAATTTCATGATTTTTCGCGTGCTTCTAATTTCGTTTCGCTTTGATCTGTATACTAGGCTTTAAACAATTTTCAATTTGAAAATCTGCGCTTTTAAAACTACCAGTTAAAATTAAAACAATCACTTTTGAATTTAAAACAACCTTGTTGTATCAAACATTTTCGTAGTTAGAATAACGATTTTTTTGATACTTTTAAATTGAAAGGTTAATATTGTTACCGATACAGTTTTTGTTTTTTGTGTGTACAGGAATATAACTGATAGGAATTCTTCCAATCAGAGTATCACCAGCTCCATTGTCGCTTCGTCCAGCTCTTGATCTAATCCGGTCACTACCAAAAACTTCAGACTGTGTGAAATAACTACCATCTTCTGCGCCGTCTCCGCCAACCATTTCCGCTTGGCCAGGTCCCACTGGAGAATGATTCCATTCTTATTCGTTACGTACAGAAACCGATCATCGTCAGTCAAACACAGACATGGTGACAAAATCTGTCAAATACAATGGATTTTGATATTGTTGAAATAAACATGCCTTTTAATTTAATTCAAACATAAATATTTTCGTTTAAACATGCTTTCAATTTACTTTGAATAATTAATAAGTTTATACCCCGTTCACACTACAACCTATATTACGTGATATAGCCTATCTTGATATCAGCATCCATACATCTAGTTTTCACTGGAAATAATATGTATGACGTTTGATATCAAGAAATTCTATATCAAGTAATATAGGCTGTAGTGTGAACGGGGTATTAGAGTATAAACATTTATAGTTTTGATATAAATGAACAAAATTCGTATCCGTGCGTGTCTTGAACTCTCTTTAACCAGCGATGCAAATCGATAACAAGGAGATTATAAATGTGCATCGATGGCAATCTTTGTTGTTCTTTGGCAAAGTTCAAAGTTATGATGATATCAGTATTTAAATATTTATTGATGAATATTTGTAAAGAATACTGAAGTCCATGTGACATATCGAAATGAAAAGAAATTTAGTATGGCACCTTTATAGATTATATGACCGATAAAGAAATAATCTTAAATGTAAGTATCGATCAATAAAGATTTTTAAATGTGTACATCGAAATCATAGAAAATTTAAAGTAAAGAATTGCCGACATAAATCTTTGTTTCTGTATAAAGAACTTTGAAGAAGTTTCACCAAAAGTTGGTCGGGTTGCTTATTGCAAAATTTTCAGGTATTTTGTGTCAAACACAAACTTTACAATCATTTCTTGTTGTTTACACAAACAAAATATTCTTTTAACACATTATAGAGCCAAAATGAATGGAAGGCACCCTGCTGACAACCCTAATAAAAAAACAAAACGCGAACGATAACCCAAATGATAGAACTGTTCCACAAATGGTTTGCGCTGAACACGTCGTTCAGCAAAATAACCCTCAACATTTCATTAGGGTTTGTTATGAGATGCCTCCATTCAATCATACATATCGATTTGTTTCAGTGTAGTCTGGAACCGGTTCTTTCGGTTCATTACAAACAAACCATGCCAACATGTCATCTGCTTTGACGTTTTCTTCCGTCAGTAAGTCACTCGGTTTCGTGGCTGGTTAGACAAAACAAGACGGTGCGCTGGCGGTTGCGGGGACAAAGACGCATCCCCTTCCATGAATAGTTCGGTTCGGTTTTTGCTGTCGTCGCATTTTCCTACACGGCTGATTTACGCGTAGTATTTTTCTGCGGCGAGTGTGCATCATCCGGAGATCGAGAGAGTGCAAAAGCAAATAAACCGATAGTCACAGCTGGAAATATTGAATAAGCATACCGATGGCTGATAAGCGGCGATCCAAGAAACGCAAAGATGTAAGTAAATTTCCATGATAATGGTCGATGGTTGAAAACTGGCTCGAGCGAAAGAAGGTAGTTGATAACATGGATCCCGAACCGAGCGAGAACCTGATTTTAGTTGCGGGGTGAAAGTTGTGCTGTTTTTCGCTTGCCCATTAGTGGGTGACGTTAGCAGAAAAGTAATGCTATGCTAATGATGTGTATTTGAATGTGTTTAGAAGATGTTCCTCCCGTTAATCGGAGCTGAAGCGAATGTTGTGTGATAATTTTATTTGTTATGAGACATTGCCACCCAACCCCCCATGGATTGGGTGGAGTTTTTCCTTTCGGTTCTGTTTTTTTCTTTTTTCTTTGCTTGACATAACGGGACTGAAGCAGAGCATCATCTGAGCTCGCCGTTCTACGTCGCTGTTTCTAATCACAGGAAAAGGGCAAGCCACCAGATGAGTATATGTAAACGTCAGGGATGCCAAACATTACTGAATCATGAAGCAGAGCTGTACTGGAAATGAGCGAGGAATTGGGAGGAAATTAAAATTGTATATAAATTTACTAGGGGAAACGTTGGCTTCGGCACGTCTTTTCCTATTATCGTCAAAAGGGTAAATGAAGTCTTATAGCGAATTCGTTTATTATTCAGTTCCAACCTGGATCGGGTATCAAGATTGGGTCTGTTTGTTTTCTGACAAACGTCAGTTTGATCGTTTGTTTTTAAAACCCAGCTCAGGTTGAGGTTCGCACTGACAAAAAGTTCGGTTTCGCACTGGGTTGGAACTGGTTCCAACCCCGATAATAAACGAATTCACTATTAGAGTGTTAATTTCAATCAAAATGATGCTCTGGAACATCACGCACTTCCATGAAAAAAAAAATCAGCGCTCTATATATAGATAGAGGACTATTATAGGACTTCGTTGGACCACGAAAAATGTACAGGCAAAAGTTATTGTGAGAAGCTTGCATCAACAATAATTGTTAATTTGTCTTCCTGATGTAAATACACTTAATTATTCTGAATCCTGATTAATGTGGACGTCTTAGTGGAATACCCGTATTTCGTCTACAATGTGCAGACTTCTTCAGTGTCGCGTATCTGTCATGGATAAGCAAATAAGGTTGTGGAATTAAATGGAAATTACTAATCCTTCCCCCTTATTCTGCGAGTCACGTGACTCTCTGTCACCGGTGAGGTGACAATTGTCACCTCGTTTGAGGTGACTCTCCATGTAAATCAAATGGAGAGTCACCTCACACGAGGTGACTATTGTCACCTCACCGGTGAGAGAGAGTCACGTGACTCACAGAATAGGGGGGCTTTTCTCTCTCTCTCTCTCTTTAAGTGGACCCTACACGACTGTTTGTATTGACAATAATCGTATTGTCAATACATTCTATATTGACGTCAATACATCGGTATTGACAATATTTATGTATTCACATCATCAATATTATTGTCAATACTTGTAAGTATTGACAATATTTCTTACCGTGTGGGGTTCGCTTTATACTTAATTCTGTTTTTACGCGATTCATTTTTTTCCATTAGCGACAGTTTTTTTGTCGATAATTATTGCAACACCCTTGTAACATGTTATAAATCTGTAATTTGATCAGAGCATTAGATACCAAAATAAAATCTATAGTGATATTAAACAGGATATTTAAAAAAAAATGCCGTCCATTTATAACACAACAGTCCCCAATAAAAAAATAGTGTCAGCTAGGCCCCAATAACCGTTTTAAGGGATCCAGAATTTGGCTTCTTCTCTGCTTATGTATTGTCAACCGCAAGTTTATCTAACCTGGCATTACAATCAATTCGATTCCTTAATTTCAGGAGTACACTGGTCCAGGTGGCGCCGACCAGGAACTCGACAAGGCCTCCAAGGACGAGTACAAGGTGGCAAAGTGGCTAAAGTCAAACGTACCGACCAAGAAGACCAAATTTTTGAACCATAATGTGGAATACTTCTCAGCAGTGCGGGCCATCGATGCACTGATGACTTCAAAGTTCGCACAGGGCGACAACTGCCTGTTTCCCCACCGACAGGCGGTGCTCGATTTTATGGACGAAATGTTACATCACAAGTTTTTCCATCGCGCCAAGAAGGTTCCAGTCAGCGAACAGGAACTCCGGGGAAAGAGCAAGAAATCGACGGACAAGGAGAATGAGAAGGAAAAGTCCAAGAAGGACGAAAAGGGAACGGACGGTGGCGAAAGCAGCCACGCCGAAGGTGGCAAAGGCGACAAGGCTGCGGCCGATAAAGAGAAACGCAAACGCAAGATAAGGCTGGAAATGCACCCGGAGCAGTTGTTCGTCGATGGCCACGAGGCTTATGTCTGGCTGTTCGATCCAATTCCAATGCACTACTGGATCTTTGGTGCCCTGCTGGTTGTCGGGGCTATTGTTATATGTCTGTTCCCGCTGTGGCCGCCGATGCTGCGAAAGGGAGTCTATTATCTCAGCATAGCAGCGGCTGGTTTTCTGGTGTTTATTCTTGGTTTAGCAGTGCTTCGATTCGTTCTGTTCTGTCTTGTGTGGATTCTCACCGGCGGCAAACATCACTTCTGGTTACTGCCGAATTTGACCGAGGATGTTGGGTTCTTCGCCTCGTTCTGGCCGTTGTATGATGTAAGACCCTCAATTGTATAGTAAATAGTAGGCATTCTCCTCATTTTTGTTTGTTTTTTAAATTTTAGCACGAATACAAAGACGGCAGTTCAGACAAGGATAAGAACAAAAAGAACAAGAAGCGAAAGCGCGACAAGGATAGTGATGCCGAGGATGAAGGTACTACAGCGGCTAGCATTCCGCCAAAGATTGATGAAGTCAAGGAACATGATCCAGATCAGAAGGAGCCGGAATCCGAGGGGACGCAACTGCGACACCGAGGAAAGGCCAAGGCTGTCGTAGAGAAGGTAGAGGAAACGGCGCACGCTAGCGATGGACATGAGGAAGAAGAGGAAGAACACGGTGATAACGAGAAGAAGTGAGTACATTCATTTGCTTATGAATAAAACATTTTTATTATATTTCATGTGTTATTTTTAACACTATCTACAATATATGGCTGCTTTTTACAATATTGAGAATACGGGAATGAAAAAATGTCAATCTAACTGGCTAATAACTTGTGGGACATCGTTCAGTCGAAAATGAACAAACACAACTGTATTGATTCAATGTCACATCCCGACACGGCACTATGGTCGGAAACGCAAAATTTCACGACAAAAATCGATATCTTGAAAACTATGCACTCGAGAGGTTTGACATCTTGGGAAGAGTTTGTCTACAAGATATTTAGCGGCGCCGGTAGTGTAGTGGTAAGCGTGAATGTCTCTCACCACAAAGGGCCTGGGTTCAATCCCAGTCGACGCCGTCCTGATTTTCTGAGGCATAAAATCTCTGATCAGAGGATGAGTACTTAAGGGGGAGGGTTGATTTTGATAAGTCTTTAGTGGGATTTTTTTTCTTTGATTTGTTTTCCGTAGATTTTGTTTTCCAATGCTACCGACGCTAGGTAGGCAGCTCCCACACCTGGACCCTATAGTCGCTATATTCATAGTCTGGCGGATAGAATCTCGGGAACCAATTGAGCTGTCATATAGCGGAACCAATCGAGCAAATCACGACCAACAACAGAAAAGTGCACATCAGCTATGGCGAACCAAATTTCGTAACCCGTTTTCTCGTGACTCAAGGCTCGCCTACACGAACTAACACTATCTTTTGGTTGTGGAAAGTTTCCTCTATCCGATGATGCTGGTAATTTACCTTCCATTGACGAGGAAATAATAATCAACGTTTTGTTTATAAAACATGATAGTACCTTTTCAATTGTTGGTCTACAATATATTGAATCCCAGCCGAGGTCGGTGGGATTTTTCTGAGGCATAAAAATCTCTGGTCACGTCTTCCTTCGGAAGGGAAGTACAGCCGTTGGTCCCGGCCCATATGTGTGTTTAAATGGGTGCGATATCCTACGCAGGTGTGGAAGCTGCCTTCCTGCACATTCGATTGCCGTCAATGGATGGCAATCGATGTCCGTCGGTGATTGGCACAAGATTGCGGAACAGAGACCGACGTTAAAATAAAGGAAAATATATTGAATTGGTTCCGCTTTTTGATAGACCGAAATTCTATCCGCCAGTCTATGAATATAGCGACTATACTGGACCCTACCTATCGACCAGTGTAGGCAAAATCATCAATCAAATTATGAAGAGCTTTGAGTGGGTTGGTTTTTTTTCCTTTAAATTCCGTTATAATTGCTTATCTTTTGACAGATACGCGTATTTCGTCTACTACTTGCAGACTTCATCAGTGCCAAGTACTCAACACCACATCAAATTATATTTTCCGCTCTCATACGCTCACAATGTCACGCGTGATATTGGAACAAAATATGTTGAATTTCGTTAGCTTGATATTCCGAGCTGCGATATCACAGCTTGCAAAATCAACCGCAGCTGTATGCTTGTTGATTTTTGTCTACGAAAATCAAGCGTGATCTTGGGCATTGGTGAGATTTGATTTTTTTGATATTTTCCCAACACTTATCGACCCATAAACTCATGAACCGGGGACCAACGGCTTTACTTCCCTTCCGAAGGAAGGCGTGATCAGAGATGTTATGCCTCAGAACATCCCGGCAGCGCCGACTGGGATTGAGAGGTAATCACGCTTACCACTACACCACCGGCGCCGCTATTTTAAGACCCTTGCACTGGACTCGATTTCAGGTCTTTTTGAAGAACTATTAAGAGATTTTCAGATCTTTTATCCAAAACAAATTTGAATAGATTTTAGAATGAATTGTAGAGATAACGCCAAGGTATTCCAGAGAACAATTTTAGGGAGTTTTAATGAAGTTCTCTGCGAGAGTTTCGCCTAGAACTCCCAAGTAAATTGAGTGAGTTCAGAGTAAAAATTTAACCACCTGGTACCACCATGGTACGTTACGGGATGTAAGATCTACCACCGATTCCTAGTTCTGAATACTTCAAACTAGGGGAAAAAGATTGTTTCAGTAATCAAAGGAACAAATCTTAGTCCTTGCTACTTTTTATGCCTGGTAAACGGCCTTTCCAACAAGACTCGGCTTTATCCACCGAGGATGATCTTGAAACAAGAAAAAAAAAGAATTAGTTAGTCTTCATCTATGTGATTCCTAATCTTCTATTCGTTGTTCCCTAGTTTGAAGTGGTTAAGACTAAGGTTCTGATCAAGGGGTATTAAACTCTGCACACCTTAATACGTACCGAGTGATTGAGTTGTGCTGAAAGCTGTGCCAAGCGTTATGACGAACGTGCCTATCCAGGACAATCAAAGTATGCCACCAAAGTATGCCAAGGTGTCAATATTCCATGAGTTTGGCAACCCCGAAAGTTTTGACTTTTATGATTGTGTTTACCATATCAATTTCTCTGATGGATCATGGCAAGCATTCACCTTCATTCTCATTAGAGCGTTAACGGGTCGGGAGGTGGACGAGGAACTGGAAACCATCATGCAAATTCAACCCGTTCACAATATTCTGGCTTGATGTCTTTTTGAATTCTTGATGCCTTGCAGGTGTTCAGAAACAAAGGAAAAATCCGATCGATGATGAATGACATCCCTCCCCGACTAAAGTAAACTTATAACTGAAATGGGCGATAGTTCAATCCCACGCTAGGAGCAATAGGGTAGAGCGCTACTTCGTCGTAATCGCCCATTTCCGTTCTATCGATCAGAAAAGATCAATAATATCAATGATTTCACCGCGCACAAATCAATAATAGGTTTGTTCAGATGTGTTAGTTCATTAGCCACAACATAAATCCTGTTAGAGCGCATTGTATGAATATTTACGCTCATTGTTATCAAAACAAAAGAAGCGTTCCTAGCGAATCTCCATTTTCTACGTTTATCCTTAGGACGAAGGAAATCTAATGGCGTTTCAATGCGTTTGGACGGAATTGAAATTAATTAATTAATTTATCTTTATTAGGGAGGCTTTCAGCCTTGGGCTGGTTCGCCTCCAAACAACGGAATTGAAACTCGTAGGACGGATTTAGAATCAAGAAGCAGTATTAGATTTAAAACAATCACCCCTATTCTGTATTTCGTTTCGAACGAAATTCTCATACAAAAAAAAAAATATTTGTATGAGAATTTCGTTCGAAACGAAATACAGAATAGGGGTGAATATCTCAACAATTTGTGACTCTTTATCAAATCCAACGGTATGTATAAGGTGAATAAATTTAGAAGTCATCTCTGAAAGAAATATTCCATTTTTTGTTCAAACCCGTTCAAAAACGATAGGTAAAACGCGGGTTGTGCTTAGTACGACGGAAATTAGATCAAAAACCCTACCATCGAACCAGTTTTCAATTATCTGATCGACTTAGAAGTGCATGATCTCAAAAATATAATCCAAGCCGATCGTATCGCCTACCTTTCAAGCCTACCAAACTACGATCTGATTAAGTTGTAGTACTTTCCCACCACCTATGAAAGCTATCAAACATCTCCCCCTGAAGATCTGCCATGCTTCGGAAATAGGATTCTCGTCCACCACAGACTTCAGCGGAAGCGCTTTATCCGGCGCCTGTACCCAAGTAACTACCAAGCCCGCTAACTACCCGATATTCGCCCTTTTTGCGATATAAGGTAAATATAGGTTTTCCGAATTTTATATTCGCTAACTACCCGATAATCGCCCTTTTTGCGATATAAGGTAAATATAGGTTTTCCGAATTTTATATCAGTCGTACATCAGCTTTATATTGCAAAAATGGCGAAAATTACTTGAGTAGGTATGTATAGAACTAGAGAAGTTTCCACGCAATCCACTCAGCTCCTCACAGATGACAAACGTGGGTGATTTACGATTCAAGAGCTTATAGCATAGCAGTACCTATAAATCTTTCAAAATTTTATAGACATCCCCATAAAGTCCTGTGGTTATCCCACTGAAGTCCAAAACACTGCTAGGAAGAACTTTCGAGGAAAAAGGCATGAGAAAATGTGAAAATTTCCGTCCCGAAGCTGAGAGTTGAATCACAGACAAACAAACATAACACATTGAATATTTTTCAATTTTTTTTTTGATAATCACTTTATTTGTACAGGCTCAATCGAATAAACTTTACAGAGCCGAGTTATCATTTTCGTTATACATTATTACTGTCTTACATTTAAAGTTAAAGGAACTGTCTTGTCTCGAGGTTAGTGGAGATTTACAATTTTTTGATGGGAAAAGAGAAGAAGGAGGTTTGAAATGTGGTTAACGATACAAATATTTAATTAATCCTAAAACATGATATTATTTCTATTCATCTTGAAAACAAACATTGAAAAAAAAATCCACACGTACAAAATACAAACTAAACACAAGGTTAATCAAACTTACAACCTAAGGTTAATATTCTTAAAGTAAACATATATGAGTTTCATAAACTCCAGATCGCGTCTAGCCAAAATATCCTGAACTGGAACATTAGGTTGCCTACCTCGAGCCCGAAGTGAATCATAAAAATGTGATCTGACTCCACGATACTTCGCACAAGACCAAAGGATGTGATCAGCGTCCTGGTAACCTTGTCCATATTCACAGAGATTGCTGTCTCCCAACCCCACACGGAACAAGTGAGCGTTTAGACAATAGTGATTGGACATGAGACGAGATATCACGCGTATGAAGTCTCGACCCAAGTTCAACCCTTTGAACCATGCCAACTTCGACACCTTAGGGATAATTGAATGTAGCCATCGTCCCAAGCTCCCTTCACTCCATTGATGTTGCCAGCTAACGAGCGACTACTGACGATAAATAGAGAAAAATTCACTTTTGTCGATCATAAATGTCGCCTTCCATAGCGCCCACCTTCGCTAGTGAATCCGCCTTCTCATTGCCCAAAATTGAGCAATGCGAAGGGACCCACGCGAAGGTGATGATGAAAGAGCGCACGGATAAAGCACTAAGCATCTCTCGTATTT